AAAATGAGCTAAGCACCTCGGTTTGCAAGTAGCTCACAGCTGGGGAAGCAGAATACAAGATTATCCCACTCCATCAGCATCTTGGAAGAGCAGAGTTTTGATTGTCTGTTTGCCAGCTGCTCAAAGACTCTTAAGAGTGATTTCATGTCAGATCAGCAACAGTTAAAAGGGTGCTCAGCACACACGTGAAGAGAGAGGGAGAGCAGGAGGGAGTTCGAGATTCGGGGTGGTCCTCCCAAGCTCTCCACTAAGAACACTAACACTAACAATGGAAGGAGAGGAGGAAAGCCAAGAGAAGGAAGGACCCGAGGAAAGAAACAGTCATCAGGAAAGCATCTCACCCCCCATGGACCTTCCCCTTTAGTGAAAGGATGGGCTGAGATCATGGGAATGGGGGGGGGGCGGCGTTTAAAGAGTGTCAGGAGATTACAGTGAGGGACCAGGGAGATGGCTATCAGTAAAGCAATTGCCATCAAGCAAGATGACCTGAGGCCGGTCGTTCAGAACCCACATCAAAAGCTGGGTGCAGTGGTATGTGCTTGTAAGCCCAGTGCTGGGGAGGCAGAGACAGGTGGGTCCCTAGGGCTCACTGGAGAGCCAGTCTAGCCTAGTTTGTGAGTTCCAGGTTACCTCACTGTCACAGAAAAACAGGTAGACAGTGCCTGAGAAATGACATTTGAGTGTGTTCTGTGGCCTGCACAGGCATGCAGACACATGTGCACATGTACCTACATACATGCATGTGCACATGCATGCACGCATGTGCGCGCACGCACACACACACACACACACACACACACAAGAGAATAAGCGTGTAAAAGCCCTCTGTGAACCTTCATGTGCTCTGGAGACCCCGCAGCGATGGGTCTGACCTGTAGCACTGTGAAGTTCTCAGTCTGGAAAACCACACAAACTGGCAAACTAGGCAGGAGAGATTCCTGAGTCTGGGACTGGCAGGACCTCTCCCCAGCCTCCTGAGTATTACAAAGCCCAAGAAAGCCACAGCTACTGCCAACAATAAACAGACCACCTCGATATGCTGCTCTGTATGGCCAACAAAACAGCATCATGGTTCTGGAATCTGACTGTGTGCTCCTGGGGCCATGGGGAAGTGAGGCTTGTGGTCCTGGAGTCTGACTGTGTGTTCCTAGGGCCATGGGGAACCGAGGCTTGTGGTCCTGGAGTCTGACTGTGTGGTTCTGGGGGCCATTGGAAAGTGAGGCTCATGGTCCTGTAGTCTGATTGTGTGTTACTGGGGACAATGGGGAAGCGAGGCTCATGGTTCCTTGGAGTCTGACTGTGTGCTCTGGGAGCCTCAGGGAAGCAAAGTTACTGTGTGTTCCTGGAAGCCGTGGGGAAGCGAGGCTTATGGCTCCTTGGATACAGCAGGTGTAATCTTTGCTGCCAAGGTGACTAAAACCACCTGAGACACCTCTGGGCATGTCTATGATGGTGCTTCCAAAACGGTTAGCTAAGGAGGGAAGAGTCACCTGAAATGTGGGTGACACCATCCCATGGGCAGAATAAAGAGAAGATCCAGCATCCATTTCCAGCTGCTTCCTGACCGTGGACACTGAGATTAGCACCTCGCTCTCCAGCCGCTTGCCTTCCCTGCCTGATGGACTGCACGCTCCAACTCTGAGGCCTTGAGTTGCTTTTGTTGAGCATTTTCTCACAACAATGAGAAAAGTGACTGACACTGCACGTTACAGGGGCCACGGTCACTGGGTGCCCAGAGGGCCTCACCTCCACCCAGTCCTCACCATGGGTGCTCGGTCCATGATGGAGGTAAACCTGCAGGCCCATGTCCTATGTGGCGGTGATTAGCACAGTGAGACAAACATGCAGAGCGTCCTCCTAAAGGCAGGAGGAGCAATTGTGTGAGGAATCACTGGCCAAGGGCTACAGAGCAGGGGACCAAAGGGACTACCAGCTGGGCCACCCTGGAAGATGCAGCCAGGAGGCTAGACAGCACTTACAACAGCTCTGTGGGATGAGGGAGTGAAAGCTGAGCCCAGTCTTTGTCTAGGAACAAGTCCCTGGAAAGGCACCCACCGTCAGAAGGGGACCCCAAGGGGTGTGCTGCAAAGTGAGGGTGATGTAATAGGGTGCCTTCTTGACCACAGCTACACCGTATTAAAGTTTAGGCTGATGCTAGTCACTGAAATTATCATGCAGTTGGCCCAGGGTATGGAAACACATGTCGGCTGAACCCTAGTTGTCTTGGGAACAGGTCAGCATGTCCTGGAGAGGGCCTGCTAACTGCAGATTTTTGGCTTCTGTAGGTTATGCTTGGCTTGCTTCTGCAAAACAGTAACTATTTCTTAATAGAACAGAAATTGTTACAGGGGCTCTCCACCTGTGAGCTTGGGAACTTAAACTTTTCACCCCTGGTTATGGTTTCTCTGTATATAAAAAAAAAAAAAAAAAAAAGCTTACTCTAGAGACGGCTTGGGGCTATACACTTGGCCTGACACCCTTGTGGAGTAGCTGCTGGCCAGCAAAGACTTTCACTCAGCAAAACTTTGTCTGAGTGGTCTTCTCTGGTGAAGAACTCCGCAACAGTGGGACGGACGTGAGTGCCTTGACGTGGCTGCAGCTGAAGTCAAGTCACCCGGGGGCTGTGGATCTCAAGCTCCGAAATGAGATCAAAGAGCTTTGGGGAGTTTGTGCCCCCCAGCATGTGGCAGAAGCAAAAGAAGATGGTCTGGACGGACAGTAGGAGAAGGGCGAAGCGGGACCCTCCCACACACTATGTAAAGATAAAATCAGAATGCCTCATAAGACATCAATGATGCTCAGCAAGAGAAACGGGCCCCAGAGGCCAAGCTTAGCAGGTACCACTGACAAGAAACCCAACAACAGCCGACTCTGTAGAGCAAAGGGCAGATCTGTGACTGCCTGGGCCTAGGGCAGGGTGGGAACAGAGGTTGAGTGACTGCCTGTGAGCACAGAACTCGTGTGGGATAAAGGAAGTCTCATGGTAATGGCTGCGTGACTCTGTGAGATGCTAAAACCATGGAATTATATTTATGATACTGAGTTAAACCCAATAATGATGCGATAAAATTAGTTAAATGTATTTTCTTTTCAAATACAGTAATTTAGCACAAACACAACAGACAGCGGAACCAGCTCCAAGCTCTTCTAAAAGCCAAATCAGAACCACCAGGCCCATTCCATTCATAGACAGCCCAGCGTTTAACAAAAAATTTAAAACTGGAAAAAAGATAGTTCCAGTTTGAAAAAGAAGCTAGAAATTCTAGAATTTAAAACTATAGACACCCGCCCCCCAACTTTCAGTAGAGTGAGGCTGGGTCAGGGGGATGAGCACTGGAGAGGTGGTGAGGTCATGGGTGGGGCCCTCATGGGTGGGGTTAGTGCCCATTGGTTACAGCTGCCTCTGTCTCATGAGGACAGAGTGAGCAGTTGGTTTTCTATGAAAACATGGGCCCTCACCAGTAACCAAATCGGCAGGTACCTTGACCTTAGAAGCTCCACCCTCCAGAACTCAAAAATAAATTATTGCTGTTGAAAAACCCACCCCATCCGTGGCATTCAGCTGAGCAGCCCCAAGAGACTGACAACTTTCATAACCAAAGTTAAGAACATAGCAAGCCAATCAAATTTAACAGATTAGACACAACTAAAGAGAGAAACAGTGAATTGGAAGGCATCAAATAAGGGCTGGAGAGATGGCTCAGTGGTTAAGAGTACTGGCTGCTCTCGCAGAGGATCCAGGTTCAATTCCCAGCACCCACATGGTGGCTAACAACTGTCTGTAATTCCATTTCCAGGGGATCCAACACCTTCTGACCTCCTTGGGCACTGCACAACATGGGTGCACTTACACATATGCAGGCAATACACTCATACACATAAAATAAAAAAATATTTTTTTAAAAAAGAAAAACATGGGGGCTGGAGAGATGGCTCAGCAATTAAGAACACTGTTTGTGCAGAAGACCCGGGTTCAAATCCCAGCACCCACATGGCAGCTAACAACTGTCAGTAACTTAACTCCAGTTCCAGGGGATCGGCAGTCTCTTCTGTTCTCCATGGGCACTGCATGACACGGGTTTACTTACCTACATGCAGGCAATACATGCATACACATAAAATATGCATACATACAAAATAAAAATAAATAAAATATCAAAAAAAGAAAAACACAAGCCAGATTAAAGAAAAATAAAAAGGACAATAAATACGAAGTGATGATACTAACAGAATTAAGAAAGTCAGTATGAAATGATATTAACAGAATTAAGAAAGTCTAACATTTAAATACTGTCTCAGGGAATGGGAGCAAAGCACTGCTTTAAAAAATGTTGAATTCTTTTTTTTCCCAAACACAAGGAATTAGCAATCCCAAGTAGAATAAATGAAGAATTCATATTCAGCTGGAGAGATGGCTTGACCATTGAGAGTATGAGTTTGGTTTCCAGCTCCCACATCAGGCATCTCACAACGGCCTACTGACTCCCTCTTCTGGCCCCAAAAGGCATCTGCACATGCACAGGGCAGAATGAAAAAGAATCCACATCCAGGTACAATAAAATGAAACTAGAGGAGATAAACATAAGAGAAACACCCTAGATGGGGCCTGTACATGAGACTGCCAGCCTCCTGCTCACCATCAAAACAAAACTTGGGGCCGGTGAGGAGGCCCATCTAGTAAAGGCAGTCGCTACGAAGCCTGGTGACTAACTCAGTCCTTAAAACTCACATAGTAGAAAGGGAGACCAGACTCCCACAAGTTGTCTTCTGACTTCCCCAGGCCTGCTATGGCACCCTATGGCACCCATGGTGACATGCACACACACGCAACACACACACACACACACACACACACACACACACAAATAAAAATGTAAATGTAACTTAATTTTTTTTTTTTAAAAGGCAAAATTCCCAACTTAATCCATTCATCTATGCTTGGGAAATACCAATCAAAATGAAGTTCTAGGGAGGAGGTCTGGGGTGGAGGGCTGGCCCACCTTCAGCCACTGCTCAGCCTGCTCCTTGCTCTGGACAGCGAGAACGAGTGGGTCTGTGCCTTGCTGGGTGATTTTCAGCTCGTGTTTCTTCTTTTTGCTGTCTTTCGGGATGTACGTGATGCTGCACCCTTGCAGGGGCAGTTCCATCTGAGGCTGCTGGTCCTTGGAACTTTTATAGCACTATATTGAACAAGAAAAGCCAATTTATACTGTGAGGAAGTATGAACAGAAACAATGCCAAAACCCAACATGGTGAAACCTTGAATGCTGGAAGGCTGTGGGAGGGCCAACGGCAGAGAGGGACGCTGGGCAGCCTGGCTGCCTCACTCTCCTGCCGCAGCCAAGAAATGTGTGAGTGCGTTAATCCAGCAAAGTCTATTGAGCATCTAGGACATGATTCAAGAGACACCATTCAGCACTCGATGGAGGTTGTATTCTAGTGAGGCTTCATGAGGATACGCTTACCTTTACACAAATAATGCAATATAGAAAAGAGACCTAATGTGGAGACAGTATAGTGATGAAGACACTTGTGAGTGGAGAGACGGCTCTGTATTTAAGAGCACATACCACTCTTGCAAAGGACCTAAACTTGGTTCCCAGCACCCAGGTCAGTTATCTCACAACTACCTATAACTCCAGTTCCAGGGGCTCTGACCGCTTCTTCTAGCCTCCATGGGCAAACACACACACACATACACATACCTCCCACATAGACACATATCCACATACATAACTTTTTAAAAATATTTATTTTTATTTTATATGTATGAGTATATTGCCTTCATGTAGGTAAGTGTACCCATGTCATGCAATGCTGTGGAGATCAGAAAAGGGTGTCGGATCCCCTGGAACTGGAGTTACAGACAGTTGTTAGTGACATATGGGTGGGTCCTGGGAATCAAATCCAGGTCCTCTGCAAGAGGAACCAGTAGTCTTAGCCACTGAGCTATCGCTCAGGTCCCATATGCATAACTTTAAAAAAAAATCTTTGAAAGTAACAAAGGCACTTCCCAACACAGTCTGCATCTCTTGCTTTCTGCCCATGTCCTTTCTGTCCCCCTCTTAGAGGCAGATGAGTCGTTTCAGTATGAACATCAGAGATCCACCTGCCTCTGCCTCGCAAGTGCTGCATTTTTAATAAGTGGGGGAAATGTGGGGCCTAGAGTGGTGCACACCTTTGATATGAGCACTTGGGAGGCAGAGGCAGGTCTACGTCTGTGAGATGGCATTCCAGGTCAGCTGGGGCTACAGGGAGACCCTGTCTCTGATGATATGAGTCGTTTCAGTATGAACATCAGAGATCCACCTGCCTCTGCCTCGCAAGTGCTGCATTTTTAATAAGTGGGGGAAATGTGGGGCCTAGAGTGGTGCACACCTTTGATATGAGCACTTGGGAGGCAGAGGCAGGTCTACGTCTGTGAGATGGCATTCCAGGTCAGCTGGGGCTACAGGGAGACCCTGTCTCTGATGATGATGATGAGGAGGAGGAGGAGGAGGAGATGCTGCTGGTGTTTAGAGACTAAACACGGAAGCTCCTAAGCATCCCATGATGCCATGCTTACCAAATTTTCATCACTGTGTCAAAATTCCTGAGAGAGCATTTAAAGGAGGAATGGTTTATTTTGACTCAGGGTTTCAAAGGTTTTAGCTCTTTAGGTTAGCTGCCTTCATCACTTTAAGCCTTAGGAAAGGCAAAACATCCTGCCAGAGAAGGTAGGATGGAGCAGAGCTGCTCACCCCATGGCAACTGGAAATCAAAGAGAAATAGAGATAGGAGGACAAGAGAGGAGGAGGAGGAAGAGCAGGAGGAGGACGACGAGGGGGAGGAGGAGAAGGAGGAGGAGGACAAGGAGGAGAAGGAGGAGGAAGAGGAGGAGGAGGAGGAGGAGGGGGAAGAGGAGGAAGAAGAGGAGGAGAGGAAACATGAAAGTCAATGGAAGGAGTCAGAAAGGCAAGTCATAGCCTAGCTTTCCTATAGGTTTCTAAGTTGTCTATAGCATGCTGGAGATCTTGGAAGGGACAAGTTCAGGGCAGCTGCCTCCAGGCAGGGCTTTTACAAGGCTGCATTCTAGACACAATGTCTGTAGGAGGGGGCAAGAGAGAAGACAACTACAATGAGAGTCCATGGGGACCCCACAGGCCCTCTGGACCTCAAAGACCCCACTGGGGCTGCCCCCCCCTGAGGTTGCCTTTACTCTCAGCACCAGATACAGACCCTGAGAAATGAGGGTGACCTAGGCCTCAAGGTTCCTTCAACAGAGGCTGCTCCCCAAATGGGTTTGACAGTGTTTCCTGCCAGGGAGTGGGAGTTTCAGTCTTGGGGGTGGGTGACTGCCTGGGTGTAGAGTCACCCAGACATGGAAAGGAAGGACTTAGAGTTGGAGTCAATGAAGTGGGTGACAGTGATACCCAAGGTAAGGCAGGTAGGGCAATCAGGAGAGACAAGCATCCTTCCTGGGTCTGTTCGGAGCTTCCTGTGCTGGGTAAGTCTGGAAAGCACTTGGTCTCCTTGTTAATTTTTTTTTAAATGTCGACAGATGTGAATGATTGGGTCACAGGTTACTTCTGAATGAAAAAGCTTCACAAAAAAATTGCTTTGAGTCAAGTGTAGTGGTGCCTACCTATAATCCTATGATTCAGGAGTGAGGAGCATTGAGAACTTAAGGCCAACCTGGACTACATGGTGAGTTTGAGGCCTAACTGAACCTTACAATAAGACTCTGTCATAACAAAGCCAAAATCAAACAAAAAGCAAAGTTTGATCTTGCATCTTGTCAAAAATAGCATTTTCCTCTAGTTTTCCATTTATTTCATCTTCAACAGTTACAGCTGCTCTACATGAAACTACAGTCATCAGGGCGTTGAGAGAGGGCTTTCAGAGGAAGCCAAGTGGCAGAGAACAGTAGGGAGGGAAGGAGGAGGAGGACAAACAGAGGGCTCAGGGAAGGAACCAGGAACCTGGCCCCAAACTACTGACCTTACATACAACCAGAAGGCCACCTGCACTATGTAAAAACTTCTCTTTCCCATGAGCGTTGAACATGCGTTTTAAAGCATTTATATAATTCAGCCCCATCTTGGGGCTATTACATCAGATTATAAATAAGGACCATATTAATATTTTCATGCTTTAAAATCCCCTATGGCATCATTTCTGGTATATTCTAAATTTGGAAGAAATTCAGGCCACACATGTGGAAAAAATATGTACTCTTGTTTGAAAAAAAAAAAGCTGAACAAAAACATTAAGAAATAGACAATGTTCTAAGAATCTGGAAAATAAGACTCCCCTAATTCACAGTTGACAGTTGGTTTCTTTTAAACAGTGTTATCTGCCCTGATAAAACTTGAGGTGCAGAGACACAAGCTCTTTGGTTTTCTGATTTAACAACTTGCTTTTGAATAATTGTTTCCTGAGGATAATTTGAAAAACAAGTTACTGTAAAGCTACGATAGATAGCCATGTTTTCTACAGGAGGAAGGGAGAGGAGAGAGAGAGGAGAGAGAAGAGAGGGAGGGAAATGGACAGGAGTTGGGGTTCCTAAAGCCTCCTGCTGGGTCACGGAGCCCCACGTGAGCGGCACTCCCGTCCCTGCTTCTGGTGACTTTCTCCATATCCCTGCTCTACCTCTTGAGTTAAAAAGGAAAAGAAAAGAAAAACACTTGGCTTTAGGTTTTCCAAAAGAATTTCCCTTCCCTCTGCCCTCCCCCAGACTCCTCCACAGGCTCCTCACCACTGCTATTACCTGGCAGGGAGGAATTCCCTGACTCACTATAAATGAGAAAGTCTATCTTGCAACTTCTGGCCAGTCTCAATGCTGGGCACGTCCACGGACACAAGCCACAGCCCCGGCAGGGCTGGAAGGGCTCTGGGGGAGACCACAGGCCCTGCAGAGGTGCCAGACTGGCTGGGCAGCGCCCGCCGAGGTTCAAGTACTTCCCTCCCACAGGGCAGTGTCGGTGTTGCAGTCCTGTGCTCTGGACTACGGATGGCACAGCCACACTGGGTTCCTCACCAGTAGCTTGGTGTCCTTGATGACACACAGCAGCTTGGTCCACTGGCCGAAGCGTTTCTTACGCAGCAGGAAGGCGCAGATCTTGGCATCTTTGACCAGGTCCATAGAAGCCTCCTCCGAGGGCCACTGGTGCCGAGTCTTCTTCCCTTTTCCGTCTTCTTCCTCTTCATCGTAAGACTCGTAGGAGCTGCTCATGGCGTCGGAGTCATAATCTGCCAAGGAGACAGGGCAGAGGTAAAAGGTGACCCTCAGAGCCCACCCTCGGGCTCGGGAGCACCTCACCATGTTTCCAACCTCCAAGGACTTCAGGGAGGAAGGGCTTCTGCCCTGAAGAAAGCAACTCCAAGACTTTAGGGGGAGCTCAGTAAAACACTTTAAACCCAACCATTAAAACACTGATACTTACTTTAGACCGTTCCCTGTGGACAGGCCACTGCTGATATCACCCCTGATGACAAACACTCTGCCTGGGCCTGCCACCCTGGACCCTTCCTTGTCCACGTAGGACTCTGCTGTCCTGTGTCACACTTTGATTAAAGACCTTCCGCTGACTAGACCCTTCCTAACACTTTGAATCCAGGCAAGGTCACCTCTCCCCTCTAGGTCACCCTGGAACTGTCACTAGGATTTGCCCCACATGCTGTACCTTATCCTGTCGCACATCAGCACCCAGGCCAGGTTACAGTTTCCCAAACTATGTGGGATTCAGGTGCTGACGTTTTTAGCCTAACATGATTGTATTTAGAGATGGGGCTTTGGGGCTATAATTAAGATGAGATAAGTTGTCAATATGGCTATGACCATAAGGGTCAGGTCCAAAGCCAAAAGGACTGGAGAGGGAGAAAGAGTGGAGAGCCAGGAGGCAGCCTTGAAGCCAGAGGCCATGCCCAGGAGGCAGCCTTGAAGCTGGAGGCCATGCCGAGGATTTCAGCTTTCCAGCCTTAGGGCTGAGATAGAGTCACCAGCAGAGGGTGTTCTTGTGACAGCAGCCTGAGCAGCCTTGCTCAAAGGCCCTCCTGGTCCCCACAAGGCCTTGTACAGACACCTTGCACCTCACCGCACACACCTGTTCCACTTCCCACAGCAGGCTGTGAGCCTGGGGATGGGAGACCATCTTGCTACATGTAATGTCCCAGCACCTAAGGAAGGACACAGCAGGTACAGAGAGGGGCGAGCTGTCACCTGGATTGCACCACAGGTGCAGGGCCCTCAGAGGGACAGCGGCCCCTCAGTGCTCAGCAAACCATAGCGATGGTCACCAGCACATCCCTACTTGGGGCCAGGCTGTGACAAGCTGTTGAATCCCTTCCCCTGGGACTGTCTACAGTCACTCACTGGAAGGCTGTTGGAGGGAGGAAGGCCTGAACAGCAAATAACTGATGGACAAGAAGCTATGGCTGGTACGGTGGGTTGCAAACAGCTGCAGAAGTGGCAGGCGGCAGCCTTCACGGGGCTGAGCTGGCCATCGCTTCTTACTGACGCCACAGTAGCTGTGCCTGCATTTTAATAAATGTTCACGAGAGGAAAGAGAAGCATTCTAGGTATAGTTTTCAATCATGAAAAGAAGACAAGGACGGCTCTCAGGCAAACACTAGAGAGACAAGGTGGCCTCTGCTTGGGACAGGAGTTGAGGTGACAGACATGGCACAGCCTCATGGGGACCTGCGGTAATGTTGACTGACAGGAGGTGTGGGGCTATGACTGTCTTGAAAGAGAGGCCAGTTGATCAGAGAGGTGCTGGGGACTCAGCACCTGGTTACCCACAATGGACAGAGAATGGCAGACGATCAGCCACTGGCCCCCACAGACAAGCGGCTTCATCTCACCCCTCCTCCACACTAGCAGGTGCCCCTCGCTCAGTGCCTGCATCTGCTCCACACCCCTCTTTATATACATGGCAGTCACTGGGGCCATTTTAACCTTCATTTTAATAAAAATGTAGGAAAATTAAGTCTTCAGTTCCGTTTGCACCCACCACACTTCAAGGACCCCAAAACCCAGCAGCTGTGGGGACACCTTGCTACAGGACAGAGACAGAACATAGCCTCTGTCCCCTAGAAGAACACAGGAGGAGGACACCGTCAACTGTCTAGAGAGGCTCACACTGTCACAGACCTGGAACTAACAGCTGTGGGGACACCTTGCTATAGGACAGAGACAGAACATAGCCTCTGTCCCCTAGAAGAACACAGGAGTAGGACACCGTCAACTGTCTAGAGAGGCTCACACTGTCACAGACCTGGAACTAACAGCCAGGTGTGCAGGACACTGGGAGAGCGAGATAGTCATCCAGCCCCTCCCTGGAGGATATGCTGGGCACCAACCAGAGGTCTAAGAAGGGACATAGGGAAAATGCACCCTGGGAAACACTACTTTCCAGAGCATGTGGCCACTGGGTGTTGGCAACAGCACAGAAGCCAGTGAGCAGCACAGGGCAGGCAGTGACGGGACACAGGACTTTGCAGTGATCCTGCCCTGGGAGCCACTCACAAAGACAGCCTGCTTTAGGGCAGGGAGTTGACTGATATTTTTTAAATATTTTCTTTAAAGGCCTTTGACTACATTTATTTATTTGTTTGTTGACTCATTTGGGAGGAAACACATGTGCCATGGTGTATGTGTGAAAGTCAGAGGACAACTTGCAGAAGTTAGTCTCTTTCCTCCACCATGTGGGTCTTGGGGATCAAATTCTGGTTGTCAGGTTTGGTGGCAAGTTCTTTAACCGCTGAGCCACGTCAGCCCTGCACTGATATGTTTATATACTCTTTTTTATATTTTATGTATTATTTTTATTTTATGTGTGTGAATGTATTGCCTGCATGTATGTAAGTGCACTCATGTCATGCAATGCTCACAGAGGTTAAAAGGGGCATCAGATCCCCTGAAACTGGAGTTATAGATGGTTGTTAGCCACCATATGGGTGTTGGGAATCAAGCCTGGCAAGAGCAGCCAGTGTTCTTAATCACTGAGCCATCCCTCCAATCCCATAAACTTTTTCTTATTTTTATTTTTTATGTGTATGAGTGTATTGCCTGTATGTATGTAAGTGCACCTGTTTTTTGCAATGCCCATGAGGCCAGAAGAGGATTCCCTGGAACTGGGAGTTACAGATGGTTGTTAGCCACCATGTGAGTGCTAGGATTTGAACCCGGGTCCTCTGCAAGGGCAGCCAGTGCTCTTGACCACTGAGCCATCTCTCCAGACCCCACTCTTAAGTAAATAGATTATAGTTTACAATGAAAGAGGTTTTAGAGCTGAGCAGAGTGAGAACAAAGGTGGTGGCAACAGCCCAAAACAGAGTCAGGTGGGTAGATGTGGAGGAGCACAGAGAGGTCCCATGAGCCAGGACAGACCAGGGTGGGGGTCAAAACGGCAGTGGACACAATCACAGTTTTAGTTAAGAAAGACAATTCTCACAATGCCTCAGAGGGTCCCAAAGCCGTCAGAGCTCAGCTGGATTTCTAGAACATCAGATGAAGGGAAGAGCCAATGGGTAAATTAGTTACAAATGAGACACACACGTCTGATTATGTTCACTCGACAGTCACAGACTGAGCACTTGCTGTCTTCCAGGACAGAGCTGTGAAAAGGCAGATCTAGAAGCGGGGAGCAGCTCATCCAGTGAAAAGGGAGAAATCAAGCTGAAACTAAGAAATCCATCGAATACTGGAATACCATGTCCCTGGCAGGTGGCAGCTGGAGGGCCGGCTGGCCTCAGATCTCAGATGAAGGGCAGGCCGGCCTTTCATCTCAGATGGACCGATTACTCCATGGCCTGGAGGCTCCCCTCAGGCCTGGGACTCCATGGGCTGAGGTCAAAGCTACAGGGCCCTAGGCTCCCTGCAGCGGCCTTCGGAAAACAGGACTGATGGATCTGCTTCTAGAAAAGCTTCAGCCAACAAACAGCAAGAACTGAGGCGTGACAGGAGTGACGGCCTCCAGGGATAAGTGTGTGGAGGTTAGGACTCGATGAGGTTGGACTTCAGGGATTTGTGGGGGAGGGGCTAGCATTGTGTTAGGAGGTAATAAATGTTCTATGAGCTGGCCAGTCACAGACCAATACATGTGGAGGAGAAGGCGGAACGGTGGGACACGGGCAAGGAGCAAATGAGCAGTCCTCCATGATACTAATTCAGCAAGTGTTCATTAAGCACTTAGATGCCAGAAAAAATTTTACCTTCTTTGGTCTTACATTCTAGTGGGGGGAGGGGGCGGGGGGACAGATGATAAACAGACGAATTCCCAGGGATGGGAACATGGTCAATAAAATACATTTAGAATTCACACTTTTTGGAGCTGTTCCTTCAGGTTTTGATAACAATCATTTCAGGGCTTGCTTAACTCCAGTCTAATGCTACAGATCCACACAGGGCTGACCCTGGGCATTTCACCCACTCAGTGACAGGCGAGGCATGTAGACAGTCTAGATAAAGTGCTGAGTAAGCCACTGTGGTTGGGGGTGGGGGGCTCTTCTGGGCAAGGAGGTACCTGGTTGTGTTTGTGAAGGCTGGTCTAGCTTTGCTCTCCCCCCACTAGAGGAATGGAGAGCTGCTTTGCTTCTTATAGACAGGGTATCCTCAAGGCATTCATCTCAGAGCTCTGTGAGGATGAGGACACAGGCAAGGCCTCTGTGACCCCCTCCAAGGCCCCAGAAGTAGTGAACTGCCCCATGCACAAAGTCTGAAGCACCGGGTGGATCTGCAAACACGAGTGCATCCCGCAGTGCACTGCACGCGGACCGACCCCGCTCGTGAAGTCAGGTTGGGTGTTTCGGTCCCGTAGTGCGCTGCACGTGGACCGACCCCACCCGTGAAGTCAGGTTGGGTTTCAGTCAGTTCCTCTTGAGGAGGGAGAGAACAAACATGGAAGGAAGTTGGAGACGTGAAAATTAAAGCAAAATCTCCACCTGGAGCCGAGAACAATTCCTGTGTCAACTCGGCAAAGCTGAGACTTTGTCCCAGTACCTGGCCTGGGTGAGGTGGCCAACAGAGAGACCTCCAAGGGCTCCAGGAGGAGGAGCCGGCAAGTGTCATATTCGGAGGCAACATGGGATGCCAGGGACAGCTGTTGCTCACCAGGTCAGCTTACCTGTCAACCCAGAGCTCCTTAGCCACTGTGGGACCAGAAGCCTCCCTGGGCCTGTTAGAATCTGGGACACACAATTCTATAGTGGAGGGCACCAGGCTATCCTCAAGTCACCTGTATTACTGTGTGAGGGTTTCCAAGGCAGATGGGCTGTGGTCTGACCACATGGGCTCTGGTCTGTCCTGACTCTCCCCGTTCAAGTCCAGCTTTTCCTTAGATGGCTGGTCCAACCTGAGCCACAGGCAACAGGAATGTGCTGGTCTCAGCAGCCCCGGTGGTAGCTCAAGGTCATTTATTCCTTATGGGCTCCTCCCATCAAACCCTAACTGCTTCAGAGGTTGGTGACAGGCACCCTTGGCAGCCGTGGAAAGTGATATCAGCCTTTGAAAATAACTGTGCCACTCTTGAGAAACTGCTTTTGGCTGCTAGAGAGGCTTCCTATGCAGCACCAGGTTAAAACGCCACCTGAGCAGCCCAGCAAGGACCACTGGTTGTCTGATCCACAGAGGAGCATTATGGAATTAAGTCCTGAAGATGAACATGCATCAGAGCAAGTAGCCTCTACAGTCCAGGCCCAAAGCCTCTGCCCGCCACACTGCCGTCTCCTGTGAGCACAGGCTTCACAGCACTGCCAAACGTGGTCTGAACCGGACAGACAAATTTTTTTTTTTTTTTAATCTTTTTTGAGACAGCATCTCCCTGTAGCCCCAGCTGGCCGGGAACTCACTATGTAGACCAGGCTGGCCTTGAACTCACAGATATCCACCTGCCTCTGCCTCCCAAGTGCTGGGACTACAGGTGTGCACCACCATACTCGGCAACAGACAAAATTTTTAAAAATCCAGTAACAACTGGCTGGCAGAAGGGGCTGTGAACAGACCTCTACTAGTGGGCTCCTCCACACGTGGGTACAGCGTGAATATCTGTGTACCAGGCAAAGGCCTAGCAAAGCCACCTCAACAGCAGAGAGGTTCACACTCAGACCAACAACGTCATCCATCAGGTGCATGACCCCCAGACTTCACCACCAAATGTGCTCATGGAGGCCAAATCAACACAAGAGACACTGGTGTGGGTCTAAGTAAGCCTACATGCAAGCCCCTAAATCTTCCTCCTTGCACTGCTGGGTTCAGTGGCCATAGGAAGATCAGGAGTGGCATGGAATACTGAGGGCTGGCAGGGCACCAGATGCTAGGCAGCCCACGTGTCGCTGTCGCTTGTCTGCTGGTCTGGCACCTCTGAAGGTCCTGCCGTGCCTCCTCTCTCAATCCCTCTGCATCCTGGGCCAGGTACCCACAGCTCAGTGGACACAGGACCCAGCTTCTCCCTCTGGGCACCATGGCATCAATCAAGGTGTGAGGGGAAGCATAGGAATGGGCCTCCAACCTGCCCTCCTCGTCTTCAATCCTCACCTACCCACTTCCAGATGACAAGCCCACTGGACAGAGCCAATAATCTTCCACAGGCCCCTTCCCCAGTCATGTGTCATTCCCACAAGAACTCCTTTGCCCTAAGGCCTTCAGCAACACCCCTGCTTGACTGTCAGACCCACGGCTGCTGCAAGACTCATTCCACTGCTCCAGGATCCTTTGGAACTGGAGCAGCTCAGACCCTGGTCTGTACCAAGGCAGACAGTCACAGGAGAGTTCTGAAGGGAGGGGTGGCCTCACCAGTGATATGGCAATGAGACACTTGCTGGAGAGGGCACAGGGTGCCCCTGGTCACTGCCACTTCTCTGGACAGGGAACTCTTCTGTTGCTGTTTCTTTGGGAATCAGCAACCCAAGCATCTGCAGTCAGGGGCTGAAGAGCCGCAGAGTCCCTAAACAGAAGCTCCACAGGCCCCCAGTCAAACAGAACCCTCAGTCTCTGGCCTTGAAGGTGTGGGATGCTGAGAAAAGGCTGGGGCTGGGAACCACCCAGGGAAGAAGGGAGTCAGGGACAACTTCACTTCCCGTGTTTTATAATTAATGTCTTAACAGTGGACACTCAGAAATCACTTAGACACATTTTGTCAAGTAGTTCTTAAATCAAAGAGAAACTAACCCCTGTAACTTAAAATCTAAAGTGACCACCCTGTCGATCTGAGAGCAGACTTCTCCAGGAAGCCATCAGTGTTCACAGCATGCACAGTGCGCAGGTAGGGGGTCTGTGCCAGGGAAGCCAGGGTTGGCAGCTGGGAAGACAACTGTCCTCACGCATGGACCCAGGCTGCTGCTCCCACCAACCCCTTTCCCTTCCCTACCATGTGCCAGTGGGACTCTCAAAACAATCACCTTCAAGTATCGTGTTAGATTCTGCTTTGCTGAAACAGGCCCGTTTACTGCTAAGAAAGAAAAGGATCTGAACGTGTCACATCTCTATGGAGCATAGATTTGGGATAACATTGCCTTGCCTCACAGGAAGCCGGGGGGCGGGGGGACCAGGGCTGAAGTGCTATGAGACCTCACCCACTTGTTTTCCACATGTCCATCTCCCATAAAAAAGCAAGCTGGATTCTCCAAGTTGACACATACTGAGATACTCCACCCGAGATTCACCATGAGACAATAACACTGTGTCTGAGAGAAGACAGAGGAGAACCAGCATCAACACTGGGAGAATCAATTCCAGAGGTCATCAGAGACAGTCTCGGCTTCAGGGGCGTGCGCGCATCTTGGTTTGAAGTGGAGATTTCTGGGGTCAGCATCAGGAGTCTGAAGGCTGTAACTTAAAAATTTTAGAGTAAAACCTGTCCCCTGCACCTCTCCAATAGAAAATATTGCAATGACAGGTTTATTTGTTCTGCGTGCGACTCACCAGTGGTGGAGTAAAGGATTCTACGGCCCTTGGGCCTTTCAAGGCCCCTCCTGTATCTGCTGCCTTCCTTAGGCCTCAGATCCATTGTACTCACACGTCTGTGATGCTGGTTAGCCCTGTCTCCTTCATACTCAGTGCCTGGGCTCACCACCACTCCTGAGAATAGAGAGGCCACCTCGGTGTGCGGCTGCCACTCACTTGAGGTGATGTACTCCGGAGCTTTTCCAGGACTCAGGGGCACAGCTTCCTCGTAGTATCCCTCTGGGAGAGAGGACGTTGGTAAGGGCGGAGGCCCACTGTCAGGAGGCTGAAGATTAAAAAAAAAACCATGGGGGGATTAATATGGAAATTGCAAACAACTCTGCACCTCCCCTACAGAGAGGCTCTCCAGCCCCTTCCAGAGGGACCCACACCGCTTCTCCTGCTCACGCCCAAACCCCAGCCTCACCCTAGCTGACCGCAGGCCACTCGGTTCCCACCAGTACCTAGGAGTCCCTCTCTCCAACAGGGACACCTTGCCTACATGCCATCAGCACACGCTCTGTGCCAGTCAGAAGACCGTCCCCCAAACCCAGCTGGGCTGACAGCCCCCCAGCCCCTCCCCGACTGAGGCAGGGGCTGTGTGTCACTCTAAGCTTGCTGCTATGTGGAGGCTTTTTACCAAAACCCATCCCATCATGACTCCCGGCAAACACAGGCTGAGCCACTGTCCTGGCCACAACTTTAGACGATGGAAGAGGCAGGAAGCCCTCAGCCTTCAGCCCTAACTAACTCCTACCAGTCTGCAAGTCACAGCTCAAGTTGCCCCCCCCCAGGCCCATCTCCCGGAACTTTCTGACAGCTACTCCACGCCATCATCTTCTCTACACATCTGCAGGACCTGCTGGTCACCTCCCTTCCTGGTCCTTTTGCTAAGAACGAGAAAGCGAAGGGAAGGAGGTCCAAAGTTCCCAGGCACCTGCTTCCTGCTGGCACCGCATGAGCACCTGCGCACACTCCCAGATCTCAGCAGTCAGCCTGGATGGGGTCCCTGCACGGTGGCCATCACATCCCCTCACACTGCACAGATACAGAGAGCAAGGCCCAGAATCTAATGCATTCTGCTCAAAAATCACACACTTTTTCCGACTCCTGCCCTTCCGCCAAAGGCTTTGTAATGTTCATTTTCCCTCTCGCTCCCACCCTTATATCTCACTATCACACTATCAATGTTCTGAGGAGGAAGGAGGAATTTACAGAGACTGGATTGGACAACGGCTCCAAGTTAGGGTTCCAAGTAGAACAATGTTCCAGTGAAATCATGTTTTCTATTATTATTATTACGCAAACCCTCCAGAATGTGACTCTGTCACTTTCCACTAACTGGAGTCCAAGAAGTCCTCTGTGAGTGACTAACCACCACTGCACACCCACCCCACTTCCGCCTCTTGCAGCTGGGGAGAAAGGATGGGTTCCCAGTTCTGCCCACAGACCCTCGGATGGCTGAAGGCAGCCACCTCCTGTCCTCCAAGACCCAGGCCTGTCCTCTGGACTAAACAGCTTCCATGCCTGCACATCCCTACCCAAGGCTGCTTCCTGAGCAGCCACCATCTTGCTGTCAACCTGTGAATTAAGAAGCCACCTTGATGGGCAGCTGCTCCCTGGAGGTGGCGTCCTCCGGCACTGTCCCAGAACCCATGTGACGCAGCAGGGAGTTTCCTGTCCTCCTTAAGGGGCCGTTCTAAGAGAGGGCCTGGCGTGCTGTGCTCAGCACCGTGCGAAGCTGGGCAGGAGGCCGGATTTGAATCCTGCCGCTGCTTCGGAGGAGCTGTTTGGTTCACTGAGTGTTTTGTCCCTGAGAGGGCAGCTATTCTGCCTGCGTCTGAGCAAGGTGAAACAGATTGCTCACATCCTGGGCTGTGCTATCAAGACGCGAGTCAAACTGATGTCTGTATGTACAGGTCCCCTCCTGGGAGCTGGAGTAGGGCAGAGGTGTGAAAGCCCGGTGTGTACTGACAGAATTGTGAACAGACGCAGTGAACCCCACTGTGGACAGGTATCTGCACTTTATGGTCTTCAAAGAGACACACATCAGCTCCGGTAATTCCACCTCCAGAAACACTCACAAAGAAGGTCCACTGGTCCAAGGGGAGAAGAAAAAGGTACAGGGATGTTTGGCAGAAGTTTTCGGGCAAAATCTAAGCAATCATCAAAAGACTATGGTCTGGCAAGATGGCTCAGTGGGTGAGGGTGTTTGCTAGGTGAGCCTGATGACCTGAGTTTGACCCCCAGAACCCACGGTGGAAGAACTGACTCCCAAAAGCTATCCTCTGATCTCCACATGCATCACAGCACATGTGTACTGCCCACCCCCACACATAATAATATTAATATTTTGTTTTAAGAAGCAACTTTGGGGCTGGAGAGACAGCTCAGAAGTTAAGAACACTGGCTGTTCTTGCAGATGAACTGGGTTCAAATCCCAGCACCCACATGGTGGCTAACATAACTCCAGTTCTAGGGGATCAGACACCCTCTTCTGACCTCCACAGTCACTGCATGACACAGGTGCACTTACATGCAGGCATAACACTCACACACATAGAAAATTTAAAATAATAGAAAATTCAAACTGTTCGCTTAAAAATATCCCCCAAAGCCATACCTCCCAAGGGAGCCTCTCCCCAGGAAGGTCGTTGCTCTTCTCCCAACACTATCAACGCCCTGAACACATGAGGAGCTTCTGACATCTGGGACCAGTGAGGGGCCCCAACTACCTGACACCACTGCATTCAGGGTTCCTTCATTCCCTCCCTCTCTCTTTCCCTCTCTCCCTCCCTCCCTCCTTCCCTCCTTTCCTCCTTTCCTCCTTCCTTCTCTCCCTCCCTCTCTCCCTCCCTCCCTCCTTCCCTCCCTCCTTCCCTCTCTCCCTCCTTTCTTCCCTTCATGTGTTTTTCCAAACATTTTATTCTGGTGAGATCTCAAATTTTCATATGTAATAGCTTTGGATTTATAAGCTAATGGCACATGAATATCATAAACATTCTCCATCTCAGAAACAAATTTCATTCTAGTGTGCAGAGAGTAAACACAGCTGACTGGAGACAATGATTTTAATTACGACTTCTTTTCTTTGTGCCGGGACATCCATTAATCACTGCAGCAGTGCTTATTAGCCCATAAAGACCCTGAACATAGTTTTCCAAAACCCAATTTTCCCCTTTATTTTCCCTTCCCTCCCTCCTTCCTTCCCTCCTTCCCTCTCTCCCTCCCTCCCTCCTTCCTTCCCTCCTTCCCTCTCTCCCTCCCTCCCTCCCTCCTTCCCTCCTTCCCTCTCTCCCTCCCTCCTTCCTAGTCCTTTCATAGTCTCTCTAGCACAAAGCAACTCACTGATCATAATTAGAATGTGTTTCAAAGGCTACAAAGGAGAACAGGCAGGAAGCAAGAGGCTGAAAAGAAGAGGAACCCAGTGTTGTGGTTTGAGTGAAAAATGTCCCCTATAGGCTCAAGTATTTGAACACTTGTTCCCCACTTGGTGGCCCTGTTTGGGGAGGTCATGAAAGCTTTAGAATGTGCAGCCTTACTGGAAGAAGCTTGTCACTGGGGTGGGCTTTGGGAATTCATAGCCTGGCCCCACTTCTAGCTCGCTCTCTCTGCTTCCTGTTTGCTGTTAAAGATGTGAGCTCTCAGCTTTGGGTTCCTGCCATGCCTGCTGCCATGCCTCCCCTCCATGATGGACTACCTCCCCACCCCAGAACCATAAGCCAAATAAACTCTTCCACAAGTTGCCTTTGGCCATGGTGTTCTATCGCGGCAACAGAAAAGTAACCGATCCACCAGGCATGTGGTTCACACCAGCTCAGGTCCAGCTTGGCTCAGAGCTCTGCAGCCTTCCTACAGGTGGGGAACCCCACGTGCCACCCATAGCTGAGGACGCTGTTCCCACCATCCCCGTGCCCATTCCTGCTGTAACATTCCAACTCCAGGACTCTGATCATGATCAATAGACAGACAAACTTCTAAAGGATAAGTGGTGTGATCTCTGGTCAGGGCAGGCCTTCAAAGGCACCCTTAACTGTGCCAGGAAAGCCCTCAGAAGCTACTATAACTGGGTGTTGGAACCCTCCCTAGCCTTAGAAGAGTCCAGTCTGTGCACACAGCCCTAACCCTGTCTCACTTCTATCCCAGGTTCCCTCACGATGAACTAGGGGACAGCAGCTCAACCACAGAACACCCAGGAAGGAACTGGACAAACTGCCCCCCTCAGAGAGAAGCTAGCCAGCGCTGTGGAAGGAACTGCACAAACTGCCCCCCTCAGAGAGAAGCTAGCCAGCGCTGTGCCTAGAAAGGAACTCACCCCGCACCAGTCACCAGGTACCTTCAACTTCACTCAAGCTCTTCCCCCTCAACTTAATACCTAAGTAAAAGTTTAACATTTTACCTGAGAACACCCTATCCACGTCTCATCAGAGACCTACACCTGCATGGGGGCATAACCACTCAGCTCACGGCACTGGCCATGACTTCATTTCCCATCTTTTTGTAAGGAAATGTCATCCAGACCTGCCTTTGCTCCTTTAGGGAAAAACTCAGAGAATTCTTTCTCTTGTGATAACTATTACTCTTATGTGAGAACAAGCATTGTTATGTCACTATAATTTCAGCAACATAACAAGGAACTACTGTTCACAGCTCACCTGCTATGTGCTAGACACTGTCCTGGGACAGTGCATATGTCTTTGTCTATAGCTCAGAAAATAACACCTAGATGTCAGCATTCCCTGTGATTTCACATATGAGGAGACGGAGATCCAAAGGAACCACAGATCCTGCCCAGGGTGGTACATGCCACATAATCAGCCAGAGTAGGGACTAACCACTGGGCCACAGCTGTGTTCCTCAGTATCTGGACTGGGGTGTGGAGCACACAAGGATGGGAGGAAGAACTGACCAATCAGACGACTTGGACTGCAGAGTCTAACCATCCTTTCCAACCCAGTACATCCAGATCTTCTGTTTCCTATGAGGACGCACACTCCCTTGGCCCTGCATCTTCCCGATCACAGCTGCATCTTCATACTGTCCTCACGACTGGGGCTCTGCCTCCCTGCTCTCTGTGCATTCCCCTGTGCACATCCTGACACATCTGTGCACATCCTGACACGTCCCCTGTGCACACCCTGACACGTCCCCTGTGCACACCCTGACATGTCCCCTGTGTACATCCTGACACGTCCCCTGTACACATCCTGACATGTCCCCTGTGTACATCCTGACACGTCCCCTGTGCACACCCTGACATGTCCCCTGTGCACATCCTGACACGTCCCCTGTGCACATCCTGACACGTCCCCTGTGCACATCCTGACACGTCCCCTGTGCACATCCTGACACGTCCCCTGTGCACATCCTGACACGTTCCCTGTGCACATCCTGACACGTCCCCTGTGCACATCCTGACACGTCCCCTGTACACATCCTGACACGTCCCCTGTACACATCCTGACACATCATTTAGTTGTTTGCATGAGAAAACACCAGTGAGACAGTGGCCCCAACTCCAGCTAAGAAACTGCTCACTGTCTCTAACTCTGTACAGACAGTGCAGCATCCAGGTTGTTTTTTGGTTATAGTAAATGAAATCTATTAAGAGTAACAAACAATGGACTGGAGGGATGGCTCAGTGGTTAAGAGCACTGGCTACTCTTACAGAGGATGAGGGTTCAGTTCCCAGCACCCGCATGATGGCTAACAACTGTCTAACTCTAGTTCTGGGGGACGTCACTCCTCTTTTGGCCTCTGCAGGCATGCAGGTGCACTTACATACATACAGGCAAAATACTCATGCACATAAAACAAATAGTAACAAACAACAATCATATACACTGAAGTAGGAAAATCAGAGTTTGGGTGCGTTCTGCCCCACACCAGCAAACCTTCTTCAGCTGACAGGAGTGCTCGGCAGTGGGACACACATCATAGTCTGAGTTTCCCTGGCAGACAGGGCTGGAATTTGGGGATTTCCAATGAGGAAAAAGGCAAAATGGCTTTAATCCCAACACCAAGAATGCTGAGTGAGTGCTCCTCTTGGCAAAGAGAGTTATTCTGGATCTACCATCGTGACCACAGTCTGGTCTGCAAGCCCACAGCAGTGAGCTCACACGGAGAGATATCCCACATGCATTCTCAGGCACCCCGGGCTTTAGCTCTGCAGGGTGAGCAGTCAGAGCCCAGCAGAGCCATCTCCCCTCCTCCACCAGGAGCCAGCAGCCTCATGAATCTGAGGAGCCAGCCGGAGCAGAAACCAGAACTCTGCAGGGTGGATGCAAGAGAAAGATGCCACCAGACTTCATGGGGACGAAACTCTGAGATTCTCAAAAGACAGGAGATGAATGGGAACATGAGGTCCACATCCACTACCCAGCCACGTGTGGCTGCTCAGGGAAATTGGTGGCTTCAGCATCAACTCTGCAGTTTCCAATTCCCAGCTTCTACACGTGATTGAAAAGAGCCCCAGTGTCACATCTGTCAGACAAAACGAAGATGCTGCAGAGGTGCAGGGACATCAGGAAGAGCAATGTGCGAGCACCAGACTCAGTCAGAAAGGCTGCTGTACAAACATTGCTTCAATCAGCCCAGAAAGGTGGCTGTCAGGAGCTGGGTGAGGAAGAACAGGGAGAGCGTCTGGTGGACAGAGGCAGCTTGGGAAGATGAAAGAGCTCTGGAGATGGAAGGCGGGGACAGTGGTATGGTATGAATGGGCACTTCAGAAGGGTGAAGGAAGAGGCCTTTCCTCCCCAAGTTGCTTTCGGTCTTGGTGTTGATCTCAGCAAGAAAAAGCAGACTACAGGCTTGGAGGACACTGACTACTGACACTAGCAGATTCTAAACTCAGTTATAGTAAGTGGACATTATTAACAGAGAGATCATGAGTATAGAGGGGTTGGGTGGAAACCAGGGGCAGCCCACACTCGAAGAACAGAGCTGTACTTGAATTAACACACACGCACGTGCGCACACACACAGACACAAAATGTGGTCCTCATGCAGCACACAATAGCAAGGTGGTATGGCAGAAAACTACCTTGGTTCTCAGATATGAGACACCAACAAGCAGAACATGCCCACTGGTCAAGGCACTACTCAGAAGTGTTTAAACTTAAAATATTTAGAGTATAAGAATATTTTCAGAATTTTCTCAGTATCTCTGGCTAATCAACTCCCATTTCTGAACCCAAGATCAGGAGGCTTCTCACATACCTAAAGCCAGGCCGGTTTACTAAGGCAATTTGGCAGCCCAATTCAGGGCAAAAGAAGGTGGGGAGGAGAGATAGAAGAGTAGAGGAAGTGGGGAGGGGGAAGGGGGGAGAGGGGAGGGAGGGAGGGGGAGAGGGAGACAGAGAGAGAAGCTGAGCAAGTTATTGAGTGATAAATTGTATCTGAGGGGAAATCCACAGAAATGGCTCGATCACTCAAGGACTAAAATGGTACCAAGTGCTGACGCACCGGTAAAGACTCTTGATCTGGAACTGACATCCAAACAGCCCCTCTGCCCCTCTTGGTGGCCCAGCTGGAACTATCAGCTGGAAGCCGCACAGGAGGAGCCCATGAAGGCCCTGGAACCATCACTACCCTCCCACCTGCTTCTAGGAGTCCTTACCTCCCCTGACCAATCCCGAGATGCTCCCAGGACACAAACGCTAAGGAGAGCTTGTGCTGTTTAATACCATTGTGACCACTGTCACCTAAAGCCATGGTGGTCCAATCTGCGATCTCAGCACTCGGAGAGCGGCTCTGCTATCCTCTTATGCAATCTAGTGTCTTTATTGAGGCACATGACTACATTAATAAAATCAATTTATAATTTTTATAACTAGAAAAACGTGAACTGCGCATGCCGCCTCACATCCTCTTCTGTGCATTGGTCTCTCTACCACTTGCTATTTTTAGATACATGAAATCATATTCTAAAAGTGTTTGATTCAGCCATATTAGTTCTCTTTTTTTGGACTTTTTGAGACAGGGTCTCCCTGTAGCCCCAGCTGGCCTGGAACTCACCACATAAACCAGGCTGGCCTTGAACTCATAGGGATCTGCCTGCCTCTACCTCCCGAGTGCTGGGATTAAAGGCATGAGCCACCACACCTGGCCCATGTTAGTACTTTTAACTGGTAGATTACTTATCTGACATGGGTAGCCAGTGACTCATTTGTTACCTGTCTGGCTAGCCTGGGCTACAGGGCAAGCTCCATTCCAACTGGGTCACACAGTGAGACCTTGTCTCAATAAGTAAGAAAGAAGTAAATAAATAAATGATAATCAGCCTGCACAGAGAGCATTTACTGAGCCAGAATCTGCACGTGCAGCCGGATCCCAGTGATCTGAGTGGACACAATGTGTGAGGAGCACTGCTCTGAAGGGCTTGTCAAGGCTTGCACAGGGCTCTGAGGGAGGAGGGTTCACACAGGGCCCTGAGGGTTGGTGGATCACACGAGGCTCACATATGTAGTACACATTAAGCACTGTAGACACACTGAGTCTTCAGTCTCCATAACAACCCCATCCCATAGCCACTGATGCTCCTCTCCAGAGAAATGAGGTGATCAGGTGAATCTCACTACTGGAAAGAGGCAGCCTTCTCCGGTCCACAGTGTATCCTGCTGCCTTCCCAGGATCCCACTGGGGAACAGGCCCTACTGGCAGCCCCCTCCTGGTGGGCAGGCCTGCATGTATGTCCATGCCACCCAAGGTAAGTGTGAAGGACCAGGTTATTTTCCCCGTCTTGCAAACACACTTGGGCAAATCACAAACCTTCACTGAACCTCAAACGCTTTTTCCAGAAAATCAGTAGGGACACTGTCCACACGGTGAAAAGTGTTTCAGGTTTATAAAGTAGGAGGATTAAATGAAATAACAGCTTCCCCATCTGTGGTTTCACTCTCTACAAGTTTAGACTATATAGTCAATCAAAAACATTAAGTGGAGATTTCTAGAATTAACTCCTAAGTGCTTTTATTACAGCACATTGCTATAATTAGTTTTATTATCAGCTATTACCGTTAACATCTCGCTTTGCCCAATCACAAATTAACCCTGTCAGAGATCTGAATGAACAGGAGAAAGCAAAGCTCAGGAATGCTGCGCAGGGCATGGGCCTGTGGATAGGGGCCGCTGCACGAGGAATGTTGCCCCTGGAGCACAGAAACTGCTCAGCTCGGCCCAGCTACAGTGTTTAGTACTGAGAGCATACAGAGGCTGGTCACTAGGTCATTAGTCTAGAACCAAGTGGAGCCAGCTGGGACCCCAGCAGACAGTGAGAAGATTCCCCCACAAAACAAATGCAGAAAGAATTGCTCAGCAGCTAGTCTGCCCTCACTTGGAATGGGAGTCTAATTTCCCTGATGAAGCAAGTTTCAGAATAAAAATACAGAAAGTGCTGAGGGGATATGAAAACCTGCATTTGAGGACATCTCCAGATTCGGGGTGGGGGGTTTAAAATAAAATCCTGAACCAACTTGAAATACATAAAATCAAATGAAATGTACATTTCTGGAATATGTGTATATTTTTCTCTCTTGAAAAAAGAAAGAGTACTTAGCCCTCGAAGCCCAGCAATGAATATCCAAGTTTCAGCCCAAGACTCTCAGCATTAACCCAGAAAGCAGGTCAAGCTCTGCAGACACTGTTTGGCCTGCCGAGTCCTCTGATTTTTTTTTTTTTTTTTTTTTTGGTACCTTAAGAACAGGTCTCCGAGAATGTGTATTTCCAGGATTCTATAAGAAACACTAGCTTCTGAAGGAAGGGGGCTCTGGACAGCAGTCCAAGGAGCACCTCGGGCCGGGTGAGGCCTCTCACCTTCCAGACCCCAGCTTCTATCACAGGCCTGATGGGTATAAGAGCAACCCAAGCCTCCAGTGGCCATGCTGGGACAGTGTGTAACTCACCAGCCAGGGTTGAGGGATCTCCGGCAGAGGCATCTGAGGAGGTGCCGGCAGGCTGTTGGTCTCTGACTTCTGAGCATGATCCTTTACTTCAAAGCCTGCAAAAATTAACCAGAATCACGGAGCTGGATGAGGAGGTGGGGTGGGGGGTAAGAGTTCAGCAGCAGCCAGCCTTCCCTGAGCCCCATAGAAAACAATGTGCAAATATTTATTCTCTCTGATCCTTCACAACAATCCTACAAGGTGGGTATTGTTAGTCTACACTTTACTGTGAAAAGTCTATGTAAGACCAGACCAGGCCAGACAGAAAAGATGAAGAAGAGGAGGGGAGGCGAAGGGAAGGGAAAGGGGAGGGAAGTCTACTAGTTAAGAAACAAAATCAGTACATAGATTTTTTTTTCTTTAATTAAAGAGCTAAAGGAAGAATTTGTGAAGTAGAAAGTGTCAAGAAGACACTATCAGAAGAGGCAACAGGGCGGGAGCTAACGTGGCCCACTGCCCATCCCTGCCACTTCTGCCACCAGATCAACCGCTTTACCAGTCTCTCTGCCAACAAGACAGAATCTAATTGGCTTCACAGCTTACAGAGTAAACATCTATACACTTCACATGCCAAGTGCATGGTTTGTGAATACATCTCAATAAAAGTATTTAAAAGGGGGGCCAGGGAGATGGCTCAGTCAGTAAAGTGCTTGCCCCATGAGCATGAGTACCTGGGGCTTACTGGCCGGCCAGTCTAACCAAATAAGTAGGTTCCATGTCCCCATCCCCCAAAATAAGGTGGAAGGCAACAGAAGAAGACACCTGATGTCAATCTTCGGTCTCCACATGCACACACATGCATGTGCATCACACAAATGTACATGAATGTGTACACATGTATACAACTACATACACAAGAATAGATGGATGAATGGTTGTATGGATGTATGGATGCATGGACAGATGCATAGATAGATGCATGGATGCATGGATGGATGAGTGCATGCATGGATGGATGCATGGATAAGATAAAAGATGCTCAGATATCTACATCTTATCTAGTTGTCGCTCATAGATGTCAAGACTCCAACACATTCTCTTGGGTTGCCTCCCTCCACTCTGTATCCCTCCCATCTCTCAACAATCTTGAGTTCTCCTCTTTGGCCCTCGCCTAACACAAGGGCATACTCTACGTCAGTCCTCCCTCGCAGGCCTCCTCAGCCCCACTCTTCTGTTCACTCACTGAACACAAAGGAGTCCATACAGCAGACCTGTGCTTATTGAACAGGGGCCAGCTGCTGTCTGCAGATAGGAGTTTCAGAAGCATTCCTACCCTTCCTTAACTGGTAAGGTTCATATATAGATCCTACACTGTGCAAACAGCATGGCTTGTGCAAAATACCTGCTTCTCTGCAAGTGTGGAGTTCTGGTGCATACAAGGCAGAGGGAACCACATGACCAGCCCAAGCCTAGGGCTCTGGGGTGCTGAAGCATCGCACACAGCATACAGCACACAGGCTGCAGCTAAGGAAAGTGTGTTCTGGATGACCCTCATAGGATGAAGAGCTCACACCAGGCCATATGCAGGTCTCTGAACTCTACCTAGGCTTTTTCCTCTCCACCTGATGAGGCTGTATTCACTACTGATGACACCCCCTGGCCGGGAATATATATAGTATAACATGCCAGGTCCTAGTCCCTCTAGTTAATGCTGGATGCTCTTTGGGACCCACAATTCTGTCAGTTCTAATGGTTTTCTCTTTGTACAACCTAGAGGCTATCACCACCCAGCGCAACTACGGGCCCTTAATGAAAACTTGATAAATAGGAGACTTTGAAAGTCAATGTATAGATGAATGTATTTTAGAAATAAGGTGAAATTAAAGGGGGGGTTGGAGGCCAAAAAATCTGAACAGGAAAGGCAGGGCATATGCAGACCCACCCTTGGATGACTGTATCCTCAGCAGGATGTTGGTAAGCACGGCCTTCTTCTCTCTCACAGTTGAAGTCAGGTATTCATGGTCCAGGAGCTCGAGGAAGAGACGAAGTTCAACTATTAACTCTTCCATTGCTGAAAACGAAACAGACAGGACGAAGGGACCATGAGGCTTGCTGGTTTGCAAAAGTCACAATGGAAATCTGAGCTTTACTTGGGACGCTTGTTTTCGGTCTGATGACTGAACAATGACGCAGTCTATATTCCAACACAGAAAGCAGCTTTGCTAAGCCAGGCCCATCGTGGACTCATATCTCCTTACTATACCCATGGCTCCTTCACCCTCACGGCCAGGCAGCAAAATTCAGCTGGAGAAGTCCCAGAGCCAACTGCCAACAAGTGGTATCCTGTCCCCAAAGTTTGACATTATTTGGTGTCAACACATGATGTTAAACATCAGAGTCAAGAGATTAGAGTTTAAAACTCCAGTTTTCAAATAACCATCCTCACACAGCTTCTGAAACAACACCCGACTCTGTGCTCCTCTGGCTGCCTCCATGGCCAGGTCGATGGGAATGCATTTATGCATTGCAACCAGGACCCCAAGTGCCAGGGGCAGTGAAAAAAACAAGTACAAGTGCTGACCTCCTCCATGCCCTTCACTCCAGAATAATAGTGGTTGTTTCCCATGAGACTGGACTGCAGGGTCTGACCATCAATTTCTAACTCATGATATGAACCCAAAGGGAACCCCCAAACCCTGTGACAGCGCAGCAGGTCCACAACAGTGAGACACTACCCAGCTGCTTCTGCAATAATGATGCAAACATGATGGCAAAGCTCTGTGTGTTCTAGCACATGCTAAGCACTAGTACCTAGCCTCAAGTACTGGTTTGAGTAATTCATTAATCATTCACCCTTTTTTGTATATGTGATACACATAATGCATCTGGACAGGAAAAACCCCTCAGATGCAAGATGCCAAGTTAAAAAAAGAGCCGGTCGGACAGACCTAACTGGACACTTGAGACTCCAGGTCCTATTTCTAGTTATTTGGGCCTCAGGCCATGCCTGTCAGGAAATACTTGTAAACAGAGTAAATTTTCATTTCATACTACAGTTTGCTAATCTGAGTCATTTTCTGTTCATCTAAAACTGTGGCCAAAAGATGCCAATGGCACAGCTCTGGGCATATTGGAATGCAAATGGAAACAGAGTGGGGAGGGAGAGAAGTGTGCCTCTGCTGGGGGATGGCCACAGGCTCCACGCAGCACACCCTACACATCCGTCCTCTCATGCATCTGCCTTCCTCCTCCCAGCCTTCTCCACTGGAGCACCGACCAACTCCTCCTCCTCAGTCTCGATAGTCACCATTTTAGCTTCTGTACCTGTGAAAAGAACACCTCACAAAAGCAACCTAAGGAAGAGTTTACTCTGGCCAGCAGCCTGGAGGTTCAGCCCCTCGAGGTAGGGGAGTCACAGCTGCAGGAGCTCGAGGGAGCCGGGCACAGTGCATCTGCACTGAGGAAGCAGGCAGCACCAATGCATGTGCTCAGCTGGCTTTCTATGTTTTACACAGCCCAGGACCCCACCCTAGGGACCAGTGCCAACCACACAAGGCAGGTTTTCACAGCTCAATTATCCTAACCAGATGAGCCCCGACAGGCACAGCCAGAGGCCCGTCTCCCAGGTGATTCGAGATCCCGTCAAGCTGACAAATGAGGTGAGCCATCACAGTCACCTACGGTCACTTGAGTGACAACTGCATACAGAGTGACCTCGAGGCTCCTTTGAGTCTGTGGGCGTTTCTCTCTCAAGATAGCTCATCAACTGACTGAGAACAGGCTTTGTGCTTCACGTCTGCAAACCCTCTCACACCCAAAAGCACAGTCTACTCAGGAAGCATGGGGCTGTCACTGTAGGAAGGACGTATCAAGCACATGAATCAGTTGGCAGGCTCTGACATAAAGGCACGCCTGAGCCTACACAAGTCACCACAAGGGCACTTGGCATCCTGATGGGTCCATGGGAAGTACTTGGTGTATCTGGAATTAACCCATGACACACCAGGGCTGCAGAGGTCATGGTCTGTTATTAGGATTACAGCCAGGTCTCACAGTGAAAGGAGGATGCAGGTGAAGCCAAAGTCTCACCGTGGCCTGGAGAACCCACCCCTCCCGACAGCAGGAGATGCCCACACCTGGCAGTGGAAACGGTGAGTGATGGGGAAGGCCCCTCTCAGAACACTGCACTCCTGAACACATGGCTGGTCAGCACACAGCTGGAAAGGGCAATGGCTCTGGAGGCCATGACAGTGAACCATGTTTGCTGGGGGCCACCCTACTTCAACTCAGAGACAGGCATTAGCTTACCATCTCCAGGTGAGAGTTCTGGCCTGATGCTGCAGTCTGTTCACCTTGCTGGACCCAGGCCAGAGAACTGCACACACATGGTAACCAGTGGCAACCTAATATAGGAATGCTGTGCTCTTACCCTACTTGATCTGGTCATCACAGGTGGCAAAAACGAGGTGAAGAAAAGCAAGTGACTGGCCCCCAGCAGCAGCTGAAGACAGCTCTTCACCAGGAGCCCGTCCTTTGTTGGACACCCCAGCCCTCACATCCACAACCCTATCCTAGATGTAATGGAATCACTGAGCACAGACTGGGACCAAGGGCTTAAGAATCACTAACCTCCAGAAAAAAAAAACAACAACAACAAAAAAAAAAAAATCCCCCAAATGCCCTGATCCCATTCCACAGGATGCTGCACCAAGAGACGCATGGTCCATCTCTTCCCCTAGGCAGGAGGCAGTTTGCAGGCACGGACTACTTTGTACATCTCCCTGCAGTAGTGCCCAGCACCATGCCTGACCAACACCCACTATGTGCAGTGGGTCACTTCAGAAGTTTTTTCTAGCATTCCATGACAGACAGGATCCCTGAGGTTTATCTTAAAGAGAAAATCACAGGCAATACACTGTTCATGCACGGTATGTAACCCTGTCTTCTGTGACATCATCTTCACAACAAATGTGGGAAACGTGGCAGGAGGCCAGCTCTCACACAGTCATCTCCTCGGCGGTTGCCACACCTGGCCAGGGCCCCCTCTGCCCCACAGGTTCTGGCGTGTGCTTCGGGACCCAGCACACGTGTGGCTTGGAAGCAAGGCAGCCAACACCCAAGCACAGCCAGTGCATATTTTTCCCTTATAGGGTTACAGTTGAGACGCCTCCAGCACCTTCTCCCAAATATTCCCGCAGGCCTCTGCAGCTAATCTGAGGCTGCTTAGAGGTCAGACTCAGAATCAGCAGTCAAACCTCAAAGGATGGACTCCCTCTGATGGCCATTAATAGCTAGCTGGTGGTATTTCTTTGAAAGGCTTGGTGACTTTAGACACAAGTCACTAAAACTTACTTCAGTTTCTAATGTGTGACTCTGAACAGTCAGCGGCCAGGCAGGCCTGCTGTGGAAATCCCAGAGGCTGTGACTCAAAGCCTCTGCCTCTAGAACCTGCCAGTTTGATCTGACTCTTCTCTGCTTAACATTCTCTGGGTGTGAACAGAACATGTGACAGTCTGCTTAGTCTTGGGCAGAGTCTTCAAGTCAGAGTTTTAAGAGATCCATCAGTGTCAGAAAGAATGTGTGAGAACTTGGGTGCCGTCCTTATACCATCCCTTCTGGGTTAGACAGAGCCAGCCAGGAGCTCCCAGGTAACTGGTGTGAGAAGCCCCAGGGCCCATTCTCTTTTCGGGAGTTATTATGATCCTTAAAGTCAGATTAATTCCTAGATGGATGACGGACATTCTAAGAGAAAGACCCTTCCCTTGGTTTGTAGAAAGCTATCTGGGCACACTTTTGACTGGTGATAATATAGGCCACCTGACAGTGCACCATAGGACCAGACTTCCTGGTTCCTGTGAAGAGTTCAGGGATGCAAAGCATACGAGATGCCAATGAGAGTTCAGATGTGACGAGGACAGAAAGTGCAGTATTTCCACCCTGCTTACATCTGTCCCGTCTAACTTAGTTCAGTTTACTTAATCGGTTGTCAAACACTGTGTTCACAAAGTTGTATTCCAAATTGAAAGACCAATAAGATCCAATCCTAGAAATCCACGGGCTCACAGTACAAAGCCACAACACACAGATCTGTAAATGGAAAGGGGGTAGCAGAAGGTTTTAGAAAGGGCGATGTTGACTGATCTCCGTTTTTGAAAAGATAATTCCAGAATCAGCACTGAAGATGACCTGGGGCAGTGAAAGGTTGGCCTGAGTGTGGGAGCAGCCAGGAGAACAAAGACACGAAGGGGCGTCACAGAGCAACATTCCTTTCTCCATCTTCACGTGTGTGTATGTGGGGAGGTACATGTGTGTGAACACGTGTGTGGGTGTGAATGCATGTGAATGCATGTGAAGACTGATGTCAGGATTCACCCTCCATTTTCCACCTTGTTCTCTGTGGCAGGGTCTCTCAAGCCCAGAGCTCACTGATACAGCTAGCCGGCTTGCTCTGGGGATCCCGACCCCTTCTTCTGAGGCTGGAATTACAGGCAACAACCACACCCACCTGGTGTTTACTTGAGTTCTGGGGATGGAAACTCACACCTGTCCTCACACCTGTACAGCAAGTGCTTTAACCACTGAGCCATGTCTCCAAGCCTGGGAAGTGCAAACTGGTGCCCTATTCATTGTGGGGAATGTAGAGACTCCCTGCAAGAACACCTGGATACCATGGTAGGGTGAATGATGGATGACAAGCAGAGGAATGCAGATAGCACTCAGATAAATAAAACCATCAGCCATCACGACTTCTGAGACGAAGCAACCAAGCTGGGGTGCAGCTCAGTGGCACAGTGCTTATCTTGTAAGCACAAGGCCTTGGGTTAGATTCCCAGCATCACACACACACACACACACACACACACACACAGAACACACACACACACAAGGTTGTAAAGAAATAAAGCTTGATTTTTACAAAACCTACATAATGTTGTAATGTTCAAAACAAAAGTAAAACCCATTGAACCAGAAATAGAATGGTGATGCAACTGTCTGCAGGGAGAGCTGGTGATGCACTGACCTGGGGAAGAGCTTCTGCTTCAAGAAGCCTGGCTACCTGCATGGCACATG